TAAAATATTAGTTTTTCTCCTCCTGTCATAAAGGCAGAGCCTCAGTTTAGATCTAGACTTTGACGAAAAAGAGGAAGAAGAGAAATGGATCATATTACCATTTTGTGGAGAATTGACACACACTACTCCATGGAGAGGACCCTTGTGAGGAACGTCCCACTCATGTCTGTTATCTTCTGTGCTATTTGAACCCTCAGGACCTTTATCAGAGAACACATGACCCTCTGGTGTATACATATCTGTGTTTTAATATCCATTATAACCTTCTTGATAGTTGAGGCCAGCCTTGTACATAGTAGGCACTCAATGTTAACTCAGAAAAGTCTAAAAAACCATGTTTTTAAATAAAAAGCCACAGGTATTCTTTGTTCAAGAAGTTTCCAAGATTTCTTACTTTCCTTCTAAGACAGTTGTACAAAAGAATCAGGTTTTGATAGTTCATATAGAACATTCTAGAAAAAAGACAAAGTAAGATGAAATTACAAAGAACTAAAATGGATACTTGAAGTCAGCATGCTTGATATGTTTCTTTCTCACTTGACATTCCTATTATTTCTGAATCATGCTGGAACATAAACCATCAAGATCAATTACTTTCTTTATGCCAACTTCATAGAGAGAAATAATAGGGCTTTGACATTCTTTAGCTTTCGCATGAAATCTCAGGAGCAGCAGGAGAAAACATTTGTGATCATGGCATGAATGATATGCCCCAGAGAACACAGAATACACCCAGCTTTCTAAAATATCTAGTTTTCTGTGACTTCCTCCTATCTTTGGTCATTTTGATGGTTATTTGAAGAGAAACTCTCCCACATCTCTGCTCATAATGCGTAGTTATGTAATTGGAAATCATGCAACATATTTTTTCATTTCATATCTGGTGTTCCCTTTATGACTTTGCCTCAGTAAATCAAAAAATGGAAAAGCTCTTTTTAAGGTCCCTTTAAATAGTAAAGTCCAATTTTGATTTGAAATACATGATCTCTTCTTCTCCCAAAAGCAAGGCATTGATCATTTATCTGTTGCAGTCTCTAATTCAAATTCCATTGGAACTTACACATAAGAACATTCTCCTGTTTGCCAGTGTTTGCCTCACTGATAATTTCCCAAAAGTTATGAACAGACTAAAATCATTAAGCCTTTCTGCTACCATAGGGTATCTAAAAGTGGTAAATCCTGATGACTGCTTTGGGGGCAAAGATGCTAAAATAAACATAAGCATTGGTAATAAAATTTTGATGAATGAGAATCATCTCAGTGCACATGCACTCAGACACCTTTGTTTTATGCCAATATTTTTCATCAGTGCAGTACTTGTTCACTGAATGATAAATGAGGAGCAGGCTACCTTTCTCTGGAATCTGAGACTCAAAGTTGACAGTCATCAAGCAAAGGAGTTTGATTTCAGCAGCGGGGCCTACAGCCTGAAAAATGTTCCCAAGTATGGGTAATGCTCATTTTGCTTAAACACAAGGAGTGGAATCTTAGCATTTAAAATCTTAGGTAATTAAATCTAATACTTCTTGGGTAGCATTAGTCTCTTTATGTTTGGAGTGTTCAGTCTCTTGTGCTTAAAAAACAAAATTTGACATTTCCAAAAGAATGACATTAATTAGAGAAAATGCTGATTCATTCTAAATTATGAAAAATGAGACATAGAAAATCCATAACAAGGGAGAAAAGAAATTTGACCATATCTTTAAGGAAGTTTATGTCACAGAGCAGACACGGAGAGAAAAGGAGAAAAATAAGATTTTTATTGCATTTGTTTCTTAGTTCATCCAAACCAATTTGTATTGTGATAGATGGAATCTTTTTCTACCTCAGATAATCACATCTGCAAAAGCTAATCAGTTTTGCCAATTGTATTTGCTTTCTAAGTGATTCTTTGTCAAATTCATATTTTTGGAAAGGAACTTAAGGACAAAATAGGTCATAAAGGTTAAAATATAAGTTGTGAAAATTTCATTAATGGTATAAAATGAAAAGCCACATAGCTGACTATACACGTTTATAGTATTTGGGAATATATTATTGAATAACCTACAATGAATTCAATTATTAATCATATTTAAATTATCAAAGTAAGAGAAAAGATACAGATTCAGTCCTGAAATAGTTTTCACAAATAGTGTACATTTTATATCTAATTTTATATGTGCTATGACACTTTTATCTATACAGGTTGTTCATATAAGTATAATTATACTATTATATTTAATTTGAGAGAAACATGTCCAACTCTGTTGAGCTTTATTGGAAATTAAAGAAGAAATCCTTGATGGTGAATAAAGTCTAGGTGGAGAAATTCTTTTTTTAGCATAAAGAAAGCATGCCACTGCAAACTAATGTTTTTTAGAAATGATTTTTTAAATTGGCTGCACATATGTGGCTAGACAATGTCTTATCAAGCTAAATAAACATGATTAATTCTGGCAGTTATTCAGATGGTACAGAGAAACATGCTGCCTTCATTTCATCATGATAAATTTATCATTGCTTTCCTGGTGCCAAGAGCATATTTTTATCATAACACATTATATACAGTGTGTCTGTGTGCAAGCAAAGCCTCTCCTTTGGCTCCTATTAAGCACTCTAAATGTTTAATTTTTAAAAGTCCCAAGTTATAAAATTATACTTAATTCTTTATCTCTACGCTAGTGTGCATGGATGGCATCATATTCCTGGATAATCATCCATGGTTCATATGCTTACGTAGATCCCATGTAGAGTATAGTTTTGTATATTTTGACCATAAAATAGTTAAAATGAAGACAGCCAAGTAAAGCTAAAAGGGCATGGTAATTTTGAGTCTTAATTTTGGGATTGGGTAGAATGGTCTGGGTAGGGAAAGAAAAAATTTATATGACAGAGGGATCAACAGTTTGGACATTGTTTTATAAGCAGGGATGCACTGTGTTTACCTTTTAGGAATACACAAAGTAATAAAAATTTAAAAATTATGCACAGAGGGCCAGGGATTTAGCTCAGTGGTTCCGCCACAAGCACAAGGTCCTGAGTTTGATCCCTGGTACCAAAAAAACCCCAAAAATTATGCACAGAGGAGGCTGAGAGCAGCTTCAGTATACTTAAATATTAAAAATTCAGTATTATTGAGATACTTATGAGAAACACTAAAGCATGTGTCCCAAAACACATGTTAGTGAATTTTTATAATACACCAAAAGGAAACCTAGTGTGGGATCGTGGGCTGTGTGGGCTTGGACAAAGTACATAACTTCTCTGAGTTTTTGCCCACTAAATTAAGTTATCTAGTGTCCTTTCTGGCTCTAAATGTATAATCTTTCTTGTTAAAATAGAGATAGAAAGGCAATCTTATGAAAGATTTTAAGATTTTCAAAGCACACAACCTAAAGTAATAGTAAGTAATAGGCACTGCACTAGGTCCTGAATTTTATTATGTTTAGATCTAGAAAACCTGAAATACTGAGGTGAACAGCTTTTTATTTAGTTTTTTGGGAAAAGAAACCTGAATTTTGGATGTGAACTTGAATCTACTTTGTAGGAATACAGGAAAATAATTTGCAAACACTAGAAAACAGAAATAAGGTAAAACTATAAAGTCTTGAGTTTATTTTTTGAAGTTGTTATAGTTAAGGCAATGAGAATTGTGACTAAATTTGTAATGAACACAAAACACAGTTAAGGATCTTGAACTCTTTTTGGTAGCCAACATGAAGACCATTGGGCAAATGCTCTGTTCTCCTGTTCTCCTGTTGTGAAGAAGTGCATCAATCAATATCCAACATAAAGTGATATTGTGTTTTTTTGACTTGGGTGGAATTGCACAAGCTGAATCTGTACCCAGGAACATGATTATAAACTCTGGATATTATAAGGGCTTATTATTGAAGAAAACGCATGCATAGATGGTTTCAGCCTCCATCATGACAACATTCAGTGTCACACATTGCTTCTGGTATGAAAATTTCTGTGAAATAAAAACATTATGGTGTGTCCTCATCCAGCTTATTTACTGAATCTGGCACCATGTAACTTCTGGCTCTTCCCCAAAGTCAAAATGACCATGAAAGGTAAATATTTTGGATCCATTCATGACATCAAGTCAGCCACAACAGAGCAATTAAAGGCACAAAGAGCACTTCCAGAAGTGCTTCAGAAAGTGGCAAGAATGATGGGATGAGCGTGTTCGAAGCAAGGGAAGAATTTGGGGGGAGTAAATGGCAATGTGACTTTTACTGTAACTTTTAAAAATTTAAAAAGCAAAGAAAATGGTTACAATATTTGAATTAAAGTTTCCAGTAAGCAAGCTTCAACTTCAGTTAACATTCCCCGCCCCCCTTTTTTTGATCTAATCTTTAGGCTTAAAATCAGTGTCATGTTTGCAATGTTATGCTGGAAGGCCCATGACCTTCATCATTCCTTAGTTGATACCTAGGTTCCTGTACTAACAGGTAGACTTCCTGTTTCAATGGCTCACCTGGAGGGATGGGCAGCTGGCAAAGATGAGGCTTAGGATGGGAAGAGAAGAGATGGTAGTGGGAGAACACTCAGTAACTCTCCAAGGCGGTTTGGAATTTGGAGGGTGAGCCCAGAGGATGAATTTTCAGCTTCTTTCAGGCCACTAACCTACACTCTTTGATCCAAATTAGCTGTGCCTGATGTCTTATACTCCAATTCCTACTTTCCCTTCTTTGGAGGGAGAATGGAAAGAAGGAGAAATGAAGGACAGAGGAAAGGAGGTGTTGTCTTATGACCTCCTTTTTTCCCCTGATTATCAGTGTGGCATAGTAGAGATTTCATGGAATTTCTCATTCCATAAACATTTAGAATATGTTCCTCTGTCCTTACCCATCACGATCCCACAATAAATACTGTGTAGACTGTTCACAGCTAGCTATGACATGAGGGGTCTTGTTTGAGGTACTGAATGCATAATCATCTCATATCTTCTTCTCCAAGCTTGGAAAACAAGTTTGCATTCAGGGTTCCATGGTGCCTGGCAAAGTACCTACCCGCCTTCTTCTGAGTATTTATGCCCAAATGCTAGGATGTCAGATGCCCGTCCACTGCCATCACAGACAACCACCGGCACAGGAGGGGTGTCTCGAAGGTACTCCAAAACAATCGAGATCACATTGGGTCCTCCTTCCACAATGAGTGCCACCACAGGAACACCTTGACCGATTCCTGCATTAAAAAAGGAAAAGAAAAGGAAAAAAAGAGAAAAGAACACAAAGCCAGCAAACCAAAGAAAAAGAGAAACAAAAAGCACAAACTAAAATTACTGAGCACAGGGAGGAAACAACATACGAAGGGATAAAAATACTGAGTGAAAATTTACAGAAAACTTAGTGGAAATCCCCCGCCCCCAAGGAATCTACTTAACTTCGCCCCCTCCCAGCAACTGTCAGGAAGGGGCGGGCAGCTAAGGCATTTTTCAGTGGAGAGCTTATGGAGAGGGAGGAGAAAAGAACTGGTTAACAGAGAAAGCACTGGGAAAACAGCCAAGAGACTGGAAGCTAAATGCAATATTAAGTCTCTTATCTATCCAGTAGTTTAGTTTCCTATATGAAGAATGAGAAGTTAAAAATGGCCACCTTCCTGAAGTTATCACAGCAGTAAGAAAATGTCTAAATAACTCTTTCCATTAAAGACTATCAAAATCAGTAGGAGGTTTGCTATATCAACTGCTGGCTGAATTATGGGCTTGTGTGTTCTGATCAGAGAGCGATCAGGTTAATTTGATTGTTAAAGGCATAACAGTCATGGTAGATGACCCAGAAGGCATGGCATCTGCCATAATCATGTCCTTCACCGCTAAGCAAGGTGCAAGAAACATGGTGATATTCAGTATACATTTGTTGAAGTCAGTTAAGGGGTTTCATAGATCTTTCCTAAGGTATCTAAGCTATTCATTCCAAGCCCTAAGACATTACTGACTTCAAGTAAAAATTCCTCTAATATCAGCATTGTTATATGTGGTTCAACTTAACGTATTTAAGAGAAGTATTAAAAACAAATGTCAGGCCGGGGATTTAGCTCAGTGGTTCCGGCGCCTGCCTCGCAAGTGCAAGGTCCCGAGTTCGATCCCCCATACCAAAAAAACAAAAACAAAAACAAATATCCATGCAAAACATGATGAAATAGAAATTATACCATCAAGCCAAATTTCAATATCATCAGTGTCCACTGAATAATTTCCTTTCCTTCAATTTGGTATTACACAGTATTTTCTCCCCATAATACCTCAGAAAGTTAAAAAGTTATACAGTATCATAAAAAAGAGACCATCTTATATGGAACAAACACTTAAAAGATACCATCAAAGTTCAATGCCACTTCTGTGAATATGAACTTAAACACCAAATCTTTGGTCATATGAGTTCTATCTCTTATCCCTTTTGTCATGGTTTTATCTTATATCAAGAAGCTTTTTTCCAGTGACAAATAATAGTTTGGGGTTTGGTTTCTTACTGCATTAGTAAGAGATTTTATTTGGTTTATATGACCCGTTTTACTTCTAAAATATGAGTACTTCAGTCCTGTAGGACTTTATTGGTTCCAAGTCAGAAAAGATGATTTTTTTCATAGTTTGAATTTTATCCTAAAGGAGTGGTCCAATATGCCAGTTATACAAAAACAGGTGCTGTTTAAATCCATATTTTAAAAATTGCAAACAAAAGGGTGATTGCTAATGAAGGAAGATGCCAAGATTTCTTTGTATTCTCCTCAGGAAATCAAGTGAAACAGTGGCCTGGGGTCCCCCTCCTTTTCTGTGGATGGGGAGGCTGTGAGAATCACTCCCTCAAATACAAGGAGCAGGAAGTGAAAGGTAGCGGTACTTCGCTTTGGCCCAGAGGCTCTCATTCAGACATGAGATCTCTCCTAAGCTATTTGGGTTTCTATGAAGGAGACACTTTGCCATTGCTGCTGAAGGAAGGATGTTTCTATTAAAAGCTGCTGCATAGGTTAAAGGCTGAATTGAAATGTTAATACAATAGCACACTTCTTTTAGGGGAGAATCTGTTGTCATAAAAATTCACTCCAATAGGGATTTGTATTTATTTTAATATGCTTTAGAGGAGCAGCATCTTTTCCAATGTCTAAATTATTTTATGATGTATTTCCCCAAATACTATTCTTTTTAATTTTCCCTTTGCTTTAGCACATGATCTCATACTGCTGACTTTATATCAATACCATGTCTTCTGTTTTATATCAAAGGACATATCTAGTCTCATTCTAGGATCTTCTAAGAGAATCTGGAATTTGCCATATTTTAACTCCTGAGCGTGAATTCTGTCAGCAGGTCTTTTGCTACAACTCATAGACCAAATGTGATCTGTTCAATGTTCTCATGGACTCAGGTCCTAGGATGGACCTTCTAGAATGTTCCATCTAGGGCAGTGGTGTGAATCTATGGCATGCTTGTTTTTTTTTTTAAAGATGAAAGGTGTTAATATGTGAGTATTTTTTTCTAAGCTAAAACTTCAATATTCAGGTTTAATTGCAGTATTGGCACTTTGTGATAAATAGGTTTTGGGTTGCAGTTTGAGCATTTGTCTCTAAATGGTTCACTATCACTGATCTAGAGTCTGTAGAACAACAAGCAAGATGGCTGGAAACCTCCCCTCCCTTTGAGAGGCTACATAGGTGCAAAGAACCAATTTTCACAGACTTATATGACAGTAATAAACTACCAGTTTATTTCTTGCTAATATAGTTGTCAGTGTATCAAAATATTAAAACTTCTAGAAATATGAACTGTTTTGAGGGTAAGATTTCATATATTTGGAATGAAACTGATTATCAATTAAGGTGATTAAAGCAAATATATTAATCTAGAGTTCAAGTGTAGTGCTTGAAATTGTGTAGTACACAGCATTATCTCTTTTTTCATAAGTGTTAAATATATCTATACCTCCACATTCTGCCCACTTTCCTCCAGTGATAAAATAGATTTTTCCCATAGACAATAAAAGGTGTTGTAGCCAAAAATAGAAGCATTATAACATTTTCTAGTTATAGGAGGTAATCAGACTATCCCTAAAAATTCCATGCTTAGTACTATTAATCCCTATACGTCAACTTTATTGGATCAATAACTAGCAGGTTGGTAAAGCAAGCTCCTAGGTGTGCCTGGGTAGGTCATGGAGGCCTGACCTTAGGTACTATGTATGGTTCCTTGCCTGTTCTTCTCTGGCATTGTTCCCCTTTTCTACTTCCAAGCTGCTATGAATTGAGCAGCTTCGCTCCACTATGTCCTTCTGCCATGAGGTTTCTCATTGGAGCCTGCTGACCATGGGCTGAATCTCCTGAAACCATGAGCTAAATTAAACCTCTCCTCTCTTGAGTTGTCAGTGTCAGAAGTTGTGTCTCAGTGATGAGAAAGCTGACTAATACACTTAGTATAAATTATCCTTGCTAAGATATAGTCACGTTAAGCTTTCTGTCTAGTCATGTACCTACACACATTGCCTGTGTATGTGGGTAAAGAAAATGTCAAATAATGACTATGACCCAAGCGATGGCCTGTTTTCTAGAGGCAATGATAGTAGAATATGCTTGTGAATCTGATGAGGGCTAATGATCCTTTCTTCAGAAAAGTAAATGGATAGACACAAAAACATTTCAGTGTAAGTTCAAAGGGTTCATGGATGCTTAATGCCTATCCACAAATATCTTGATAGTGGGCTTTATAAGATAAGAGATGTAGTAAAAACCTCACCTTAATTAAACATGTCCATGAAGTTGTAAAGAGCATCAGTTTGTGTTATTTATGCAGCTCACTGAGGCAAGTTCTGGGATAGCCTTTCAAACAAACTTCTGTGTACAGGATAACTGCATCCCTTCACCACTGACTAGTTTTATTGACTAGTTAACCCTTCTAATGGGAGCACTGACAGCAGGATGTGGCTCTTCCCTCCCTAGCTCTACCCATCCCTCTCTCTCTCTCCTTTGTTTTATTTTTTTTTCTGCTCACACTTTTCTAGATTACATTTTGGACAACGGATATTTTAACAATCTCTAGAAATATTCCCAAATTTACAATTTAGAATCTATGGGATATGACAGTACACTTTTACTAGTGACACACACAAAGAAATATTTTTGGAATTCCCTGCTGGATTCACTGAGCTCATTGCCATTTTCTTTATGACCTAGAAAAAATTCTGTCAGTTCCTTTAAAGGTTCTTGCAAATGTATGCCTTACTCAGCTAAGTCCATTCTCCCCCCATTTACCCCTGGAGAAAGTTATTTAGATTTACATTTAAGAGTATATCTGTTATTCAGGAGAAAGAGTTTATCTAGATCCCTAGGGAACCATATATATATATATATATATATATATATATATATATATATATATATATATATATATATTTTAACAAATTCTTGTTCTTTGGTTTTGGGGAAAAGTAGGTTAATTCCTTAGTTGATTGCAATCATTTTTCATTTTCTTCACTAACCAAGACTTGAAGTAGTTCTTAGCGATTTCCATTACAGTTTAATTTTAAAGCAATCTTTAAGTTGCTTTAAGGACAAAAAAGCAAGATGTTTGCCACACTCTTCTTGCAATTTCAGAATTGGAAGCATCCTAGTAAACAAAAATGTGAGCTTGTGGTTTGGCAGCAGCATTCTACAGGGTTCTATGTTGACCTCCAGCCTTTGGAGTATATATGGTACTCTAATTCTTGTAGACTTGTCACATCTCATTCAGACTGCTGTGCAATTTAGCTGGGGCCTCAGTAAAATGGAAAGTGACTAAATTGTGTTAAACAGACTGGGCTAGGCATTGTCAGGGAGATGGCTGGCAGGAACAGAAGAATGCCTTAAAATTCCAAATAGTTTTTTTTAAAAAAAGAATTGATCTCTTCTGGCATGAAGCCATAATCTATGATGAGTTCAGGTACTTGGGGAGACATTTGATATGTGTAGTGAAATGCCTGGATAGTTGTTCAAACAGTGTGGCTTTATGGCAAGATCCTCAAACATGATATAAAGTGCTTATGGGCCTAAGGGATCCTTTATTTGCTCTTGAGAAGTGGTTTGTGTTTACATGAAGATGTAACACACAGATTGTTCTTTACCTAGTTCTCAATGAACTCAGCCACAGATTATGATTATGGCAGTATAGACCATCAAGAAAGGAGGTTCTCACTTCATGAGTGAGGTGAATTCCTGAA